TCAAATATTTTCACGTAAATTATGACGTCTACTGGAAACACGCGCCAACGTGAGAAAAGTTAGTTGTGGCCAAACTACTACACATGTATTTTTTCCTGAATATTTTGAAACATAACAATACAATGATAATTTTTTCTATAACTCAAGTAATCACGAATTTTTGCATGAAAAACCCTGCAATGGTACTTGTCCTTTATAGTCGCCCAACCAATCTGCATGTATAAAAAACATGGGGCCTTGACGCTATTTCAAGAATGAAACCTCAAAACATTCAAAATTAAAATTAGCAAACAAAAAAATATATTATTTTATACTTTTATTTTATTTTACATCTTTCTGCTTGTTAAGTTTAATTTATTTTAAACGTTATAAGATTATATTCTTGAAATAGCGTCAGAACTCCATGTCCTTTAAACATCAACTCCGGAAGGAATGTTTTATAAATCTTCAAAAATATTTTTGAAATCTCATTTTAAATAAAAACGACTGGAGCATCTCTAAGTACCCCCTGTCCGGAAAACTTTTAATCAATTTTTAAAAAAGAAGGAACGACAGGGTCGCCAACAGTTGACCCCCGGGCGAAGAAACACTGGTCAAAGCAGTCGAAAAAGTGACCAGTTGCATAGCTCGATGACCATACGACGAATTGCAGCTTAGCAAAATGATACTTAAGCAAAACAGAAACGCGTATGGACAGAGAAGAATGGAGAAATTGCCAGCCGCATCAATAGCGAGAAGAAATACAATGATGAAAGAACAGCTGATCAAAGTATCATAAAGATGCAGTCGCCTAAAGATTACGAAATACGTTTAAAGACATAATTTTAAAAAGTGTTAGTGTTTTTATGGAAAAAAAAAGCAAGTAGGGATGCATATGATGAAATAGATTATGCAGATTTTGTTTTTTCAAAAAAAAAAAAAAGAGTCATACACGGCTGCGGCACTATTCGGAAAGCAAGAAAGTTGGATATGAGCAGTGAAGCAGCCAGCAAAGGGCAGCTTTTTTTTGGAAGATTATGGCAGTGGGAGGATAGAGAAAGCTGAAAAGCAATTTTTCAAAAACATCAGCAAATTTTTTCCCCTTTTATTGAATAGAATTGCTTTTTATTTATTAGGCAACGTGCTTTTTTAATAAATACTATTCGAGCAATGATGAATTCTTTACGTCGAGACGAGTACTACATCTCTGTCGTTTCAAATTACTTAAGAAGAGTTACGGCATCACAAACCAATCTTACTGCTGCAGTTGCAAAATAAAAACATAAACTGTCTTAATTATATTATCATGAGTTCGCTCATTTACCATGAGTTCTTGCATTCACTTATTTTAGGAACGGATATGATTTTCCTTCGAAAAGAAGAACGATCTTTTCACTTCCTGGCTCCCCGTCCTCCCGTTAGCAAAAAATCGTAGCCCATAAACCCAATTTCCCTTTATTCTGCTTATAATAGTGCAGATGCTTTTAGTATTGTGATCTCTTTTTTTTTGATTTATTTCCATTCATATGTGTAAGTCTTATATGAGCTGTGTATGTTTTTTTTATTGCTATATTGATTTGTCGATAAACAGGTGAAAAAACAAAAATAAAAATTGAATTTATAGGTTTTCTAAAACTTTGCATCTATAGGTTTTTATTTT